AGAAAAAACATTTCGTCGTGAATCAGAGTTTCCCCGCCGAAAACTAAAAATTTTCTGCAGAAAAATTGAAACTCCCGACGAAAAAATATTTTTCCGCAGGAAATTGCGGAATCACGCTCATTTTTTTTCACTGGGTAAGGAAAAGAAAGAAACGTGATATCACTCTACACAGACAACAGTCTTAATGTATGTTATATATGTGTACCGTACATTGCAACGTGAGCATACACTATATATAACGTGAATAAGAAAAACAATAGAAAAGAAAATCGCCATTTGTCGCAGTTCTATTCTGAGGGATTCATTTTTTACAACGGTTGGTTCATCTTTTTTCTCGGCGCTAAGAATTTGTTTCTTGGTTAGTGTGCCGTAGGCCTGACAATTTTAGAAAACGCAGACTAAAAAGTCTCGAAGAAAGATCTTATTTATACTAACTTTCTGCTTTCATCCTTCTTTGCAAACATGTCTGTTCAGATCTCTTTTTACGAAACTTAAACAAATGGAATAACCAGTTATAAAGTCTTAGTCGATTATGGAGATTTATAAGAAAGGAAGTATTTTTTTGAATATTTCGTCTTCGTACCGCACTAGGTACACATTATCTTTGTAGCAAACTCCATTTCTCTTTCAAACAGCGCCACATGGAAAATATAACAGCATAATAGACGTTTTCAGATAAATGGTGCGTACGGAAGGTTTAGGATCGCTGTAGAAAAATTTTAAACGTGTTAATTTTACGTGCATTTCTAGCCAATAATGTATGATATCTTGTCTAACTTCATTTTCTCGTCTTGTCATTAGTATCGTGAACCTTCGCTTTTTTCTCAATGCTCGTTTTTCGGTTATGAAATAGCAATTAAATTTTTTGACTCTTGATTTCCAAATTTTGGGATGACCAGGTAGTTGTTTACATCATCTTTCTATAGAATGGTTAGTGTTAGCCTTATCTTTTTTCTTCGTTTGATAATTCTACTTTCCCACCACTCAAAGCTGTGACTCTATACCAGTGAACGTTTTTATTAGTGCTATTATAGCTTTGCTTTTTTTTCCCTGAGTATGAACTTTTTGTAATACAAGTCGGGAAGTTCTACGCAACGGTTTTCATTAAGGTCATTGCTTCTCTAGTGTGAATTAAATATGATGGATCGGCGGTGCATGGAAAGTCGATAGATATCACAGGAACATTGAAGGATTTGTTTGGGAAAAGACACGAAGAATAGTTAGTATCTGACTATATTTTAAGAGATCAAGACGCTTCGGTCAATTAAACTGTTGGCTAGCTGTTGGCGAAGCATTTATAAAAGGCATCGCCATCGTTCTGCGATTTTAGCTTTTTTATGGTCAACCATAAAACTGTCAGTTTCACTCCTTTTTCGTGATCCGTTTCTACCGGCTTTTTTGAGAACGTCTTTTGGAACTTTCCGTAATTTCCTGCTATTTTTAGAATCGCACTCTTTATTAGGACAGCCGTATAATTCACTTCCAAGAAAACTGTTTCTTCTATTCTTGTTCAACCCCTTAAATTCGTTTCAGATTTAAAACTTTCTTTTCCCTCACAACGTTCGCACAAACATGACTTCTTGTTCTTCTTCGGCAACAGCACAAGATGAGGATTTGTCATATCGTGGTATGCAAAAGGAGTTGAAAAAGCGTGGACTGAAAGCAAATGGAAAGAAAGATGAACTGACAAAACGTTTCAAAAAGGCAATGGCTGACGAAGTGAAGGAAGCAAACGCACAGCAGCAGCAGCAACAACCACAACCTCAGGACGGTTCGTAACCTTTTTTTTCTACTGCGAAGGAACGAAAACTATTTGGCAAAAGCCTGACAGCATATAATGGATAAATTTCTATTGCTTAGGTTTTAGCTCGTTTCAATTTTTTCGCCTTTTAGACTTTGATGGAAGCGAGTCAGAAAATAAGAAAAGTCAGGATGATGGAAAACAGAGTAGCGACGTTGGACGAAAGTAAGTAAAAAGAGGAATGCTTTAAGAAGTTTTCTGGTTTAGTCGCAGATTTTTTTTGAATGAATGTAACGATAGAGTTGAAATTTTCTACACACACGCGTTGCCAAACCTGTAATAGCCGAGAAAAAGTGTCGGACCATTTTTGATTTTCTTTCGTTGTTATTTAGAATACAAATATCAAGCTCTTACTCTGCCTAGTACACCGAGTTCTCAGTTAAAAAAACTGCGTAAGAGCTGCGATTTATGTTTCAAAGAAGTGCTGTGTCCACAATTGCATTGTCCCAACTATCTAAATTTGATTGACTTGAGGCTTTAACAAGACATTATAACGTGATAGATCATCTAGGCAAAAATACTTACTGACTTCATGTTTCTCTCATTACAAAAGAATTAGAGAAAATCATAACAATAAATTTAGAATGCATTAATTCAAGGACATCCGGCAAAAGCCGAGACCTTTGTCCATGCAGGTGCCAGTTCTTGCCGAGTTGTTATGGACAACTGCGCAGAATCGCTCGGCAAAAAGTGGCACCGGCATGGGATAATGGTCTCAGTTTTTGCCGGATGTCCTTCACTGACGCATCCTTGTGAACAGCAGCCACGTCTTTCATCTACAGCTACCGCCAATCGCTAGCATTTACTGATCTCAGGGCTTGGCTTCTTTATTTACTAATAAGGAAAGAGAAAACAGCTTTCAGCCACATATACTCCTGAACTACAATATATTTTGGAAAGGTTTTATTTCGGAGGGAACTGGAGATGAGAAGTTTAAATTTGCATGTTTATTGGTGAATACTAAGAGAAAAAGAAATGCTAGAAGCGTGTTTCGTCGCGCTTTGAAAAGCGCGCTTACAATTTTCTTAAGAGTCAAGATTTTGCTTCGAATTGTACGGATTAGGAGAGCCGACATGTGGCAAGCATAGATTTTTGAATAAAGATCTGTCATGGACGAAGCGAAGAAGTTAAAATGCACACCCAGGATCAAACACTCCTTCAATATAAAGTGTCAAAGTGTTCATGGATCAGCGGAGTTTACTGACCTGCCATTCCAGGGAACAAAAGTTTTTTTAAAAGATGTCAAGGAAAACCGATCCTGTACAGCACGAAGAGGATGACCATTTTTCCAGGGCGAAAAGAACGATTTAGGACCATTTTTTTCAGAAAATAAGCGCAGGATTCGAAATCAATTGCAGTATTGCCACTGACGACGACTCAAAAAAGTAATCAAAATCGCGAAACAGAATCCTTCAAGATTGAAACTAACTAAAAACGCTTCTCTAAATGAACGCAAGAAAAACTTTGTCCACTAAAATGATAGAAAAATTCTGCAGAAAAAACGTTATACAACGTTTCAGAACTCACAATAGCCTTTCATAGAATGATATTTTTTATGTCGATCCTTTCCTGAACAGTTTCGATGCTCCAACGTGGCCTATTTGCAGATGAAAGTTTCAGCGTGCCATAGTATTCAAACGCTCCACTTTCTTGTATCTTTCCAGGCCTGTTCCTCAGAAGACAGCCTTTCTTTCACGTGTCTATTGGATGGTGAATGGATTGACTTGAAATATTCTGATGACGATGACGATGTGGAAGAAGAAAAGACCCTAGCCACAGTTGAAGCACATCTCTCTGCTTTATTAAATATTCCAGTCGATCTCTTAACAGTCAGGCTCGGTCAAATGTGTTTCACTTCATTGGATTTACGGCGAAAAGACTACGATCTCGAACCGCTAATTGCTGCTGAATATTTATATTTAAAGACAAGACCATATAATCAAAATTCAACCATAGACAAGGAAATTGAATTCAGAATCGAAATAATGCACACCAGACAATATCCCATGGTCATTCGCTGTAGTAATCAGATAACTGTCAAAGAACTGAAGCAAATTATTCGAGATAAAAAAGGCTATGATGTAAGTGAACAAACATTGGAAGACATGTCATACACAATGTACGATAGCATGAAACTGTCTAATTACCAGATTACAGATTATTCATCGATTAGATTGATCAGAAGATATTTATCAGTTCGAAATGAGACAGAAAGTGGTAAGTCAGAGATTAATGATGCCAGCCACAAGTAGAGATTTTTTTATAGTGAACATTTTCCGCATAAAATGTTGCCTAAACTAAACTATATCGACGACTATGCGCTGAGTGGCGCAAAAATTTCCGTTATTTCGCAGTTTACCAAAATTGATCAATGCTAATTCCGAATGAATTTTCTGATTTTTACTTAATCCGCTCCCTTTTTTTTAAATTGTAAGGTTAAGTGGGAGAGATAACATGAACTAGGCATTTTTTCATGAGTTACAACTTCAAACACGAGAAATATAATTTGTCCGTTATGCCGCATCCAGAATTTTTAACCATGA